TTTTCCAAAGAGACATACATATGGCCAATAGGTGCATGAAAAGATGTTCAACATCACTAATCTTCAAAGAAATACAAACCCAAACAATGAGGTAACACCTGTCACCTGTTAGAATGGCTATTCTCAAAAAGACAAGATGTAACAAGTGTTAGGATGTGGATAAAAGGGAACACTTGTGCACTGTTGGCGGGAATATGAATTGGTGCAGACACTATAGAAAACAGTATGGTGGTGCCTCAAAAAATTAAAATAGAACTACCAAATCATCTAACTATTCAACTTCTGGGTATTTACCAGAAGAAAATTCTCATTTCAGAGAAAATGAAAAGAAAATTTCTCATTTACCCAAGAAAAGCTCTCTCATTTTAAAACTCTAACATTTGACCCCCAGTCTTCTTTTAAGATGGCCTTAGATATTGTCATCAATCCGTTTGTCTAAAAAAATCATGAATTGCACCTATTTCCTAATCAGTTAGTATTTTGCTACTCTCAGATTCTTCCAGTCTCAACAAAAGTCATGTAGCCACCCTAATCCTGGATGACTTAAACAAGTACCTAGGAAGATACACACAACCCTTTCGCCTCTCATTTCCTTGATCACCTCAGCCACCCAGGTTCCTGGTCACACCCTGGGTAGTGTCAGAGCCCACAATCTTGCTACCTCCCGAAGCAAAACTTAATCTGCCTATCTTCTGACCACAATATCCCATCTTTCCAGCTGGCTGATTAGACCACTTCCATCAAGGCTAACTGTTCTCCAAACCTAGCTAACCTAACCCTGCAGGAGAGTCACACAACTAAGCAAATTGCTTCCACCATAATCACCAATTTCAAACAGACCCTCAGGCCGCCTGCAAAAACTTTTTTTTTTTATCAAGGCACTCTCCCATTCTCTGTAATGACCTTGTCAAACTTTCTCCAGCTCCCCAAATCTATGACCTGCCTAACTCCTACTTTACTCTCAGCTGATGTCCCTACTTCTTTTCGTACTTTACAAAGGAAATAGAAGGTTTAGATCAGAATTTCCTTATTTCACAGCTCTCAAAAGACAAAAATCCTTACCTACTCTAAAATACTGGCTTGCCTTTCTGATAAAGCAGAAGAGGTTTATCAGGACTTCTCTTATCTAAGGACCCACTCACTAATTTGTGCTTCGGAACTTAAACATTTCCTCATTCTCAAGAACTTTTCACCATTAATTATCTCTACTTTTTCTTTAATATTCAACTCCTCACACTCATCTGGATTCTTCCTATTTGGAAACCATTTTTTTTTAATAAATAAAATCTTCCTCAGTTTCACGTGCCCCACTCACTTCCTCCTAGTCCTCACCTCCTCTTCACAGGCAAACTATTCAAGAGGGTCATTTTGCTTACCATGTTCATTTCTTTACACCCTATTCACTCTTCAACCCAGCCTGGCCTCCAGTCCCTGTATCCAAATAGGTGGTTAACATTGTTAAAGTCAATGGGCAGGCCTCCTCATTCCACATTCCTCTCAACATCTCCCTCCCACTCCTTCCCACTTCTGTGACTCCCATAACATTGCCTTCTCAAGGCTCATCTTCTGCCAGATTAGAGCTCTTCCTCTGTCTCCTTTGCAGGCTCCTCTTCCTTTTTAAGGATGACATTCCTGAGACAGATTTAAGGTCTTTCCTCACCCGACTCCTCTCTAAGCAACCTCATCAGTGGCCAGCTTGGCCACCTATAGGTAGATTACTCAAACTGTCTATCTCTGACTCTAAACCACACTCTCCTCTGAACTCCAGGTTCTTACACACAGCTCTCTACTTAGGTCTCCAACTGGATGTCACAAAGGCTTACCAGACTCAGTTGCTCAAAAGAAAACTCACATCTTTTCCTCCCCAAATAGTCCTCTTCCAGGGTTCCTGTCAGTGAACAGCAATGCCATCCACAACTATCCAAGCCTGATTCTCAGGAGTCATCTTTGGCTTCTTCCTCTTCCTCACTCTGCCCATATCCAGCCATTACAATCTCCTGTCACTACCTTCTAAATATCTCTCAGGTTCATCTATTTCTTTCTGTTCTATTGCCACTAACCTAGTCCAATCTAACATAATCCCTCACCTAGCCTCGCTCAGAAAACTTCCTGCACCCATTCTCTTCCTCATTTAGTCAATTCCCCAAACTATAGCAAGAGTGATTTTTCTAGAACACAAATCCCACCACCTGACAAGTTGAAATATTATGTAACACACTCATTGCTTTTAGAATGAGAAAACAATCCTTGGCATGGTCCACATGATCCTACAGGGTTTATGCCTACTGACCTTTCTCTTTCTAGCCTTGCTTCACAAGACAGTTCCCAGATCTCCAAGCACACTGCTTTATACTAAATTCCTAATCCTTTTGCCATTTCCCCACCCGTACTCCAGTTCATTAGCAAACACTGCTGGCTGTGCTCTGAAACCTTGTCTTGACTCTAAACTCTCCTTGCCATCCGTACCATAAGAGTCTGAATTAAAGCTGCCTTTCACTGGACTATTGCACAGCCTACTCAGTGATATCTCAGTGCTTTTTCCCTTGCCCCATTCAATTGATTTTCTAATCACCAACCAACGTGATGTGCATAAATCTCTGAAATTGGATAAAAATTACATGAAGAGGCAAATAGTTCCTTTACCCTAAGTACTAGTTAATAACATTTATTGTACATAGAGATGGTATGCAGGAGAACCAGATAATAATGAAGGGTTCTGTGGTCTCTATCTTCTGGTGGGAGATTATGCCCTGAGGAACCTGGGAAAGATTCCTCTGACATTCCAAAGGTCTGTTATCATAGAGGCAGAAAGACAATAGACAGACTCGGGTAAGGTAAAGATCGACCTTTGTCTGGAAAGACACCAGCGTAAGGCATGACTGCCTGCCCTGACTCTGGCTTTGCGGGAGGAAGGTTTGATTGCTGCAGGTCTCTGAGTTTGGAAGGCCATCGCCGTGCAGGCCGCCCCCGAGATCGTCAGATTTAGTATGTGGCCCCTTTTTTGAACACACAACCTGTTAAATATTTATTGTATTTTCTGTTTTCTCCTAACTAGAATGTGCCATCCATGAGAGAAGTGATTATTTTCTTCACTATTTATTTTCATTGTTTTAGGAAGAGTAGGTGCTTAACAGTTTCTCATTAAACAAATAACTGAAATTACCTAATCTATATGTCTCATCTATATCTTTATGTTTCCACCACCTCCATGCAGAGAAATATTTGAAGGCAGCTGTATAGGGAAAGAGGAGGTTGATCCAATCCTGTTTACAAATCGTAACTGATTTTAACTTACATATTTTCGGATCTCTCCCTTTCTCTCAGGAGAATCCTCTCCCAACAGTCAGAGGTTATTTCCCCTCTGTCTTTGGTTGTTACAAATAGTACGGCCTGGTAAGTACCCTGGTAAGTAGACATTACTTCTTTTCCTCGCTGAATCTTTGTAATGCATTCTGAGAAGTGCGGTTTATGGGTCAAAGGGTATTTGTATCTGTAAAGTAAAATGAGTAACTTGCTGAATACGACCCCTCACCCCCAGGGCTCATACCACTACCACTGTGGATTTCCTCCAGCTCTGTGTGAGGCCACAGACTCGCCCTCCATCTGAGTGTGGTTAAACTTTCGGGGGAGGGTGGCCAATCGGAGGGTTGAGAAAGGGCCTCTGCTGAGAGCGCGGGTCCCCACCCCCGCCCCAAGCCCTCCACCCACTCCCCGGTTCCGGCTGGAGCAGCTGCACTGCGAGCAGCCACGGGTTCCCAACGGTGCACTGGCGGAACGCGCGGGGCCTCTCCCCTCCCAGCTCCAGCGCTGCGTCCCCTGCGGGCGGGCTGCTCGCTGCCGGGAAGAACCCTTGCACAACAGACCCGAAAGAGGAAGCACAGAAAGGGCAGGAATAAACACTTGGGAAGACTTTTAAAATAAATCAGCTTCTCGGGCTTTTGCGGAACCGTCATCTGGCCCCAAATCCCTTAACCACTAATAAATATATCGAAGCGACGAAGTAGAGTCAACTCGTCAGGGGACGCTTCTAAAAGAAGGGAGCACGACACATTTAAAGGAGAGATGAGACCAGAAGACACGACATTTCCCCAAAGTAAAACAAAACAAAACAAAACAAAACTTGTTTCTTCAAGGTTGTAGTTTGGAGGGGGCAAGTAAGAGGAAACCCGATGAGTAGGACAGAGCAGGCCAGATTTTTCTGCAGTCATTCTCCGTCTGTTTCTCGTGTATTTCCAACCAGGCGCCCCTCTTTGCACCTCGATGCAAAGTAGCGTCGCTTGTGCCCCACGTCTACACGCCGCGGGGGAAGGGCTGGGCTGACACCACTTCCTCCTCGAGAACGCGGAGCTGAAAGAGTACAGGCCAGAGCAGCGCGCGTCCCCTTCCCGGCCGGTGCCCCGACGCCGACGCGCACCTCGTCTGCGCCCCAGCGAAGTCCCGCGGAGCCGCTAAGGTAAGCTGTGCGGCCGGCCCGGGAGCGCTGGGAGCTGCCGCTGGCACTCGGGGCCGTCACCGCACATGCCGGACGCCCGCGGGGTCCCAGGCTCCACCCAGAGTTTCCGGGTGAACGTGTGCCGCATCACCTGGGGTCCCCACCGGCGATGTCCTCTCTGGACCCCGCTCCGCGAGCTTTGGGGTTGGAGCTCGCCTTCCCCGCGCTTGATTTCAGCAGATTTGACTGGTTTTCGAACCAGGAACCGGTCTGAGCCGTCGCCTGTGAGCCAGGTCCCGGAGCCTGCCCAACTCAGAAGGGATTCCTGGGGCATTTCGGGGCACTGTAGATTAAATCCAAGTCGTGTGGGAATTTGAGTTTCCTTCCTTTAAGACTTTCAGACAACTGATTCTTCTTTTTAAAAATAATGTTTCCTCTGAATTATTGTCCTTTCGTTTTAAAATAAAATAAGAAGAAAAAATTTGGACACCAGGCAGAATCTTGGTGATTTGACTTGAAGACATGAATGTCCAGGGTGTGGTTTCATAGCATGAAGGAAATAAGTAGGATGCCTTATATCCGCGAGGACCTCCGCGCAGGGTTCCCTCGGAAAAACTTTGGCCAGCGTACCTCTTAGTCTCCTGCGGAGGTGATTCTAACTACTCACACAGGCGGAAGTCTAAATGTTCTCCTAGCCATTCACAGCAAAGCGGTTCAAAAAGAACCTTTACCGTGACCATTAGTGAAAGAGAAATGGAATAACAGAAGAAAATAACGTAGAGGGGAAAGGCACATGAGTTTATTACTCCCCAGGATATTGTTTCTGGTGGTATAATGTGGTTTAAACAAAGGCAAGAGTATGAACCACCACTGATTTTAAACGCTAGGCCTTTGAACGGAAATTTCGGAAAGAAAGGCTGTGTCCCGTTGCAGAAACCTCCAGTGGCAATTTACCTCTGGCTTGAAAGAAATACAGAGTGGCACATGAGCAGTCTTACAGTAATGCTGGCTGGCAAAATTCACAGAGGGTCCACTAAGAAATATGTCATGTTTTCCAGATGGTATTTCCTGTCTGCTCAGTGTGTCAAGGAAGGTCTAAGAAATTTAACGTCATCTTAAGACTCAGTACTTAATTATTTTCATTGTATTGTGATTTGTGTCTTTTCTGGGTATTTGGAAGACTTAGATTCATGTCTGCCTTTAACTAGAACAAGGATGACCTTGATTAAGTTGCTTTAACCTTTCTGGACCTGAGACAATTTACCAATAAAGTGAGATTATTGGACGACATTATGTCTGTCATTAAGATAGCAATTAAGAAATTGCTACCATTCTTTGAATTTGTCCTATCTAGGATGCCAACAAAGTTAGAATTGCTGATCATTAACCAAAAAGAATGGAGAAAATAATAATAACAAATTTTGTTAGATTCTGAAATATCAGCGCTTTTGTTTCTCTAAAAACAGAGTCAATTTCTGGCCTGTAGATGGCAAATTATCATTCTGTTGAAAAACTGAATTGATGTGCCCAAGTTTGGGCAGGTCAACATTAGATTCAAAATTCTTCGATTGTTTTTTCTCAATAAATATAATTTTGTAACATGGATTACTTTATGATTTAGTTACTTTAAATCCTAACCACAATATTTACTAAATGATGTAGTGTCCATTAAATTTTTTGCATTTTTATATCCTAAGAATATATACTAATTACCAGCTATTTTTGCCTTTTTTCACTTATAAATAAAGAGTTCTACATATTTTCATATTACTCTTCGAATGAGCTATTTATAAAATTCATTTATATAAATGGCTGTGTTTAATATGCCACTTTGAATTTGTTTAAACCATCCTACCTTCAAAAAGCATTATTATTTTCATTTACTTCTAATCTTCCTCAATTTTAATTATTTTTATACCTACCACTTTTTAGTAATTCCCCAAATCTTATAATAAAGTTTGCGTTTTGTAGTCTGTCACACCAAAATCAATTTCATAGAAGCTCCTGAGTTTTATAGACAATAGAATGATCTTAGTAATTCTCACCTCAAAATGGAAAAATTCTTATGAACATAATTAATATTTTAGTGTGAAAATATGTATATATTTTATATCAGTCTTGTCATCCCAAGTAGTAACTTAAACTTTAAGCATTTTTTATAGATTCAAGTACATAATAAATGCCAAGATTTAAGGCATTAGTACAGTTTGTATAGTAATGTTTATATGTATTAAAGTTATAATTATTATGAGAAACATGACTTTTAGAGGAAACTGCTATGCATTTGGAAAAGTAACAATTAGATTTCCCTTGAGAAGAAAGAATAGCAGCGCTAAAGAATGACCTTTAATGACCTACAAACAGTTTAAGGAGCTAGATTGTACATGAGATGTGACAAGTCAGGGCCTGAGGACAGCTTCTAAGGACTAGAGGATGTGACCTGTCACCACTGCATCCCTATTGCCTAGCCAAATTCCTTGCACCATAGTTAGACTCCCAATGTGTTTGTGAAATGTACAGATCCTGTGTCAGTTCCACCTCTGGGTGGTGCCATCAAAATGTCCGTAAGTTCAGTGGGCCTGGTTGGTACCAACCCTGAAGCATGAGCAGACAGAAGTGTCCCATCACTCCGAAGCACCACACCTTCTCGCTACATTCTCTGAAGCTTGAATTCATGACTCAGTTTCCAAATATTTCATCAACATTGATTATGTGCTTGAATCATTAAGACTCTTAAGAGCTGTTTTCTTTCTTCTTTGTTGACTTAGTTTCCTCACTAAATGGCAATCGTAAATAATAATTACAGCTTATATTCTGTACCATACCCTGTACTAACTAATTTAGATGTGCCATATCATTAATCCTCACAACCTGGGTTTATACTATTATTCTCCCACTTTCATCATTAAGGAAATGAAAGCAAAGGGAGATTAAGAAGATTACACAGAGAGTCAGAGCACAGTTGACCTTTGAAGCCAGCCAGTCTGATGCTAGGTCTGGACGTGCTGTAGCAGGGACAAGGGTTTACATGGTGGAAAAAAAAAAAAAACACAGGGTCTTTCTTCAGTGCACTTCAAGTCTATTGGGGAGACATCTATGGGCAATTACAGTCCTACATGTGACGGGCATCTGTGCTGAGAGGACACATATCAGACCCTTCCTTCACACTGGGGTCAGAGAAGGGAGGAATAAAGGAAGGCAAAGAACTTGCCTTGTTAGTTTATAGTTTATTAGGTTCTTAGTGGGAAGACAAGATAGTATACTCAATTGTGAAGTTATTTTCTTTATATGTCTTTTGAAAAATAATCTTCTTCGGCAGCAATAATATGTTTTCATTTTTATCTTTATTGTATTCTAATCCATCTTGATAACTTGCAAGGCTGATTAAATCAAAGAAGCAATGGGTACAATATTTTTTCTAATTCTACTGGGGATCTTTCTGATTTGATCTCATATCATAGACTCATCAGTGAGATGGTTTCCTCTAGACGTAATCATTATTCTAAATGTGTTGGGGTTTTTTAAAGCATTCAGTAAGCACGCACATGTTTTTGTAAAGATCTCAAACTGGAAATTAGAACACATTGGTCCTTGGGAAACTGAAATTAGAGTCTCTACCTACCATGGAAATATTTAGTTCAGTAGTATCTTAATCATTAATGAAGTGACCAAGATTCATAAGTAAATATAACTTTTAAGTGTAATAAAGAATATGGAATTTAGGAATTGCTGATTTTTCCATATTACTTATATTTCTACTTTAAATACAATTCAATCATTTCAAAGATATTTGCCAAGTACTATTCTAGGTGTTTGGGACATGTTAGTGAACAGAAGAGACAAAGATCTCTGCATTTGTGGATATTCTGGTAAAGAGACACAGACAATAATCAATAACCATAATAAATAAGTAAACAACATAGATATTAGTAAGTGAAAAGTACTATGTTAGTTTCAGGTGTGCAACATATTGATTAGACATTTGTATACTTCACAAATACAGAGAAGCCTTGTGGCTCAGCTGGTTGGAACATCATCCTGTTACCAAAAGGTTGCAGGTTTGATCCCCGATCGTAACACATACAGAGGGCAACCGATCAATGATTCTCTCTCTAACATCGGTATTTCTCTCTCTTTCTCTCTCTCTCACTCTCTTCCTCTCTCTCTCTCTCCCTTCTCCCTCTAAAAAGAAAATCAATAAACATATCCTTGACTGAAGATTAAAAAAAAAGACAAAGTTGGGCAAAGTAAAGTTACGGTATTATAGAAGTTGATAAGGTTTGGCCTCATTGAGAAGGTAAGATTTGAGCAAAGGTCTAAAGGAGTTCATTAAGAGGCTATCTGAGGAAACAGTGCTCCAAGCATAGGGAGCAGCCAGTGCCAAGGCTGTAAGATAGGGGGCTGCGTGGTATATTCAAGGAATGCAGAGCCCACGTGGCTAGTGGTAAATGAACAGGGAGAGAGTAACAGGGGATGTGGCTGGAGTATAGGGAAGAAGAGGGTGAAGAGGTAGCAGGTCACCCTCTTGCAGACCATTTAAAAACCTTTAGCTTCTACTCTGAGTGAAATTGAGGGGCCACTGCAAGGATTCTGATCTGTCTGACATTTAAAAGGCTCACTCTGACTGCTTGAGAACAAACTGGAAGGAGCAAGAGTGAGAGCAAGGAGCCTATCAGGAAGCTTTGGGAATAAGCATATATTTTGAAGATAGAACCAACAGGATTTTCTGGAACAAAGTGTGAGGAATAAGAAGTGAAAGCTCTTTTGACCTGAACATCTGGAACGATGGAATTATCGTCTAGTGCGAGAGACAAACATATAAATGAACACATTACAATGTGTCATGTGCAGTGATAGGTACAGAAATAATATGGTGAAGAGAGTGGTTATAGGGAAGGCATTATATAGGGGTGACCAGGAGACACTTTGAAAGATAAAAGTTATTTCCATGTGGCCCAGTGGAAGAAGGCTACCCTGGGCACCACATGTGTAAAATAGTTGAGCAGTGCTGGAGCACAAAGCACAGTGGGAAAGAATAAGGGAAATTCTGATTTAACACCTGGTTAGTATTATTCAGATCATATTCATATGGTACAGTCACCCCAGTCAGTTTCGAGTCAAATGCTCAGGCACTTGTAATGACAGAACTATTGCACTCTAGAACAGCACTCACCAACAGGAATATAATAGATAACTTTAAATTTTCAAGAAGACACATTAGAAACAGTAAAAAGAAACAAGTGACTTCAAATTTAGTAGTAAACTTTATTTCATATATATCTAAAATGGTCAGTTAATTAATATTAATTATAGTAAATCACATTAAATTTAATATTAAAATTAATATAATTAAAATGATCACCTCTTTTATTCTTTTCTTTTATATTTTTTTGACTAAGTCTTTCAAATCCACTGTGTTTTACACTTACAACACATCTCAATTTGGACTAGCCACAATCCAAGCACTCAACAGCCCCACATGGCTATCTAATTGGAGGGCGCAGCTCTGGATAGTTGCACAAATATTGTATCCTGACTGTGTGTTGACTCTTCAGCTTACTGGAGGATATTAGATGAGTGATGAATTAAGTTGAGGGGAACAACATTTTCTATTAGTATGGAACCT